CACATTCTTGCTTTCACTCCCGAGGGGTGTGCACACACCTGACGGATGTAGCGCTGCCAGGAGCACCCACCTCACATACCTGTCCCGCACCCAGAGTCTGGAACTCTGCCCGTCCTGGGAGGTCACAGCACTTTCTTCCACTGCACTGTGCCCGGTACACACACGCTCAACACCTACAGGCCCTGCTACCGGCAGTTCATTCATTCTTTCATTCCATCAAGTGTAGGTTTCTACTCTGGGCTGAGCACCTTCCCAACTCAGGGCTCCAAACCCACTCTCCCCGCAGGCTTCCTCATCTCAGCAAACAGAACCACCCACTGACTTCTCTTCTCAGCTTCAAACTCATGGAACCAACTGCCTTACCCAGCGGCGTGTTTGGATACCTGTGTATTTTTCACCCAAACTCATGCGCTCAGGGAAGGTGGGTTAGAAACCACTCAAGATCCAGAGATAAGTTTTTGGACGGGGGGTGGGGGTGGGGGCAGTTTTTTCCCCACTCACAGAGGAGGGGCCCAGAGCCAGACCTTCGCGGTTTTGAAAGGTCAGGGCAAGATGATGGTCATGCAGGGAAGGAGGGCTCCACAGGTAACCCTGGCATGCCCCTGCCAGGCGAGGCTCCTCATTCGAGAGTCTTGTGCATGAACACTGGCCAAAAAGGGCTCCTTCTTCAATAGCTTCAAGGAGTCGATGATAGGGTCTGGTGCCACCCCCTGGGGATCTCCAGCCCTCTCCATAGATGCCCCAGGGCTACTCACACAGTCCTCAGGCAACTAGCAGCTACAGGAGTGCCATGGTTCTGCAGTCACAGCTCAGCCTCTCCTCCAACAGCTTCCTCCAGTCCCACACAGGAAGTCAGCCCCACCCAGGGCCTAGCCCTCTGCCCCCAGCTCCACCAGCCACCACAGGCCCAGGTTGGATCCTTAAAAGAGTCTCCTCACTGATTACTTCATCACCTCTCATTCATTCCCTGGACTCAGTGCCCAGGGACCACTCAGCTGGACTCAGTTCCCATGGGCCACTCAAACTGCTCCTGCAAAGCTCACTTACAGCTTTCACGTTGCCAGTCCCTTTGCTGTCCTCATCTCGCGTGATCTTTCAAGAGTATTTCACACCGCTGTTCGCCCTCCTTCCTGAAGGGTGTCCTCCTCTAGTCTCCAGGGCATCAATGCTTCCTGGTTCCTTCGCCCCCCTCCTGGGAGCTCCCCGTCAGGCACCGGTGGGCTCTGGGCCTCTGTCCTCAGCTTGTCCCTTCTCCATCTGGACTCTCCCAGGTCAGGTCACCCACACTGGCTGCTTCAGTACCATCCAACTGCAAATGGCTCGCCCCAGATCGTTACTGCTAACCCCGACTTCTCTCCTAAGCTTCAGATGCCTATTCAACATCTCCCCTTGGATGTCTCGTAAGGATCTCAAATTCAATGTGGCCCCAATGAGCCTGGCTCTCCATCGTTCTCCAGAGTATCGTACACACAGCCGCCACCTCCCCACTTGCTGAAGCCTCACGCCTTAGACCTTGGGAGAAACACTTCCTCTCCTCTTATTCACACAGCCCATCACATTTAACCCAGCATTAGTTCACCCTATTGGGTCACCCTCCAACACAGAGACTGAATGGGATGGCCTCCCACCTTCTCCGTTGCCACCATCCTGCTTTGAGACCCTGTTACCTTTCACCTACTTTCAGAGTCAACTTTCTGTGTCCCTGCCTCCCCTCTTGGCCCCTACAATCCATTCTCCACAAAGCAGAGTGACCTTTTAAAGGTATGAATCATGTCCCATCCATCCTTTCACTTTAAACGCTGCCAGGGCTGCAACGAGAATACACACTGAAATCCTTCACCTGGGCCTTCAGGACCTGGCTCCTGCCCCCCACGCTGACCTGGTCTCCTTCGATCCCTTCTCGTTCCCTCCACACCAGCCAACTGCTGGAGCTGCTCTGCCCTCAACTGTCACAAGACACATTATGCACATTTAGGTCTCTGCTTAAATGTCACCTCTTTTGAGAGTCCCTCCCAGACGGCCCGAAGGTACTCCACCCGGCTCCTGTTCCTCTGCCCGACTGCCCTGTTTCATGTGTTTTCCAGCAGTTACCACTATTGGAGATTATCTGTGTGTTTATTATCAATCTGACCTCGCTCACTGCAATAAAAGCTCCTCGAGAAGAGAGACTGCCGTGCTCACTGCTGTGTTCACAGGGCTCCTCCTGGCGTGGAGCAGGTGCCCTGGGATAACCAGCGGGTTTTGAATGGAGTGCAGGGGACAGTGAGGTGAGGACTGCCGACTCACTCGATAGAAGGCATGTTGGGTGCGGACATCGGGCTGACCTCCTTGGCCTTCTGCAGCGCGTGCTTCTGGTTGAAAGCCTCCTCTTCTTCCTGCTCATCCTAGACACAAAGAAGACACGGCTGTGCCTGGGACCCCCATGAAGAAGAGGTGGCTACCTGGGCTCTCCTGGGAAGCTCTGGAGAGCAGGAGGGGTGAGGAGCGCAAGGGAAGAGGTGAAACAGGGCAGAATGAGGGAGACAGGCTGAGAGACCACAGATGGCCAAGCTGCTGGGCTTCCGTTGCCCTGGCATGGCCACAACTCTGGTCTTCTGCCCCATAGGCTGCCCAGGAGAGCCGTGGAAGTCAAGGCCATGGCTCAGCCCTCAGTGGAGCTGGCCACGCTGTGGGAGTCACAGGCCAGAGCTGACACTTGCCAGGTGTTCTGTCTGGAAGTGAGGGAACGAGGCCCTTCCAGGCAGAGGCCCTGAAGTGCAGCACCCAGGCTGTGCCTTCCACCGTGCCCTCTTCCCCGCAGAGCTAAGTGTTCCCAGGATTGAGTGTTTTCTTTATTCTTCATGTTACAATCCTGCTAAGGGCCTCCTTGAGGGTCCAAGTTCTAAGCTATTATTTTCTCTATCTCACGGGAGACCCAGGCTGGTCTGAGGCTCACCAAACTCAAAGAGAGTGAACCAGGCTTCCTTCAGGGCGTGTGGCCCTCCACCTGTCCAGGAGCTCCCGGGAGGGGCCAGACACTCAGACTCCTGAAAGCACCCCAAAGGCATCCAATGGCACTAGAACCATCACATCCTCAGAGAGCAATGCTTACCTTGGTCAGCTCCTGGGCGTTGGCCAGATTGTCCACAGCGATGGCCAAGAACACATTCAGCAGCGTGTCTGGGGTGACGAGTTAAGGATGGACAAGTAAGAAAAGCAAGAGGCTTCAAAGTAAGGCTGAGAGGGCATCTCCACGTCTTCCCTGCTGGGGACACTAGGATCTACCCCAAAGAGTCACTTAAGCAGGGACTGTGGGAGGGGAGGACAGAGATACTATGCAACCCTGTTAGAAGGAGAATATGTCTTCCCTCCTTCCACACATCATCTCTTTGTTCAGGACAAAGAAATACATGAATGGAGTGAGAAGGCCTTTAAGCAGCTGCGATGTCTATCACAGCAATATCAAACAGAGAGTCAATGAACAACAAGATGGGTAGGGAACTCAACGTAGGAGCTCATCTCCCCTTTCTGGGAGGCTGAAACTGAAGCCCACCTACACTAGCTATCCTAAATGATTCTTAAAGATGAAAAGAAATGAGAACCCACATCCCATCACTGGCCAGCTCTCAGTAATGGGTGCTAACTTATTTCTCCTGTTCTTCTCGTCCTGCACAGCTTCTGTATTTCATTTAGCAAAATGTCACGGAGCTCACAAGATCATTATGGAACCCATTTTTATTCTACACGCTAACCTCTCAAGTCCCAAATTTCAACTGTGTTTGAGGTCCGTGTGTTCTGGGACAAAGAACTGGTTCCAGAAAGTCCAGGTCTGACTGTCCTCAGAGTAAAAAGAAAAAAAACCCCCACAAAAACCCAAAACAAGGCCACTGTGACAAATCGGCCTTCCATTTCTGTGACTCATTGCACAGCTTTCTTCTTACGGGCTCTCTTTGGTCTAGCGTTGGCTTTGGCCCTTATCAGTTTTCAGGGCAGAAAACCAAAAGGGGCATCTTTTCTCTGTGAGATGACAGAAGATGCAGAACTACAGCTGTATCACAGCAGCTCCTCATTTTTACTCTACCAACCCCAATTCAAGGCAAGTCACACTCCCCCAAAACAGCTAATGATCCTGTAGAAGTTTGTAGTTTACCAGGTGCATTCAAATAAATTACCTCATTTACTATTCACAACGAACAAAGAAGACAGGCATTGGTATTCTAATTTCACATGTGGAAACTAGAAGCTCAGAAAGATGGAGTGCCTTTCCCAAGACCAAACAGCTGGATGCAGAGTTGCTGGGATTAAAACCGAATCTTCCTGGATCTAGATCCTGTGACCAGACCTGGGTTTTGGAATGCAATGAACTTGGTTTCTACTTTCCCTTTACAGTTGAGTAATTGTTTGATCTTTGCTATTTCTTCTATGTCTTACAAAGTAGGGATTAGATGAACTAGTGCCAGTAAAGCACTTAGTACACACAGAGACTCACAAATAGCACAGAAGCAGTCAATGTTAGATGTGCTTAGCTCTGGTAGCATTAATCATAATGTTAGTGTTTTCGAGATCTTACTATGGGGCAGGCTCTGTTCTATGGTAACATGAAATTAACTCATGAGTATTATAATCTGCCCACTGTTTCAGCCTACAATGATCTCTGCCCTCTCTTCTTTGCCCAGCTCATAGTAGCTCCAATCATTCAACACAATAGCCTCATTTGGATGCTATTCTTTTTCTTCATTTTCATCCCCTTTACCCAACTAGCGTACAGATTCCTTAAGGTCAGGATCCTTGTTTCTCTTAGTATACGGAGCAATGTCTGGTTTCCTCTTGGTATACAGAGCAATGTCTCCCCGCCGCACCCATCCCTGCCCAACTCCAGTTCTACCACCATCACCACCTTCCTCCCCACCTCCTCCCCACCTCCACACCACCACCACCACCAC